TCTTTTTTTCAGAACAACACCTTACTCCTTTACTTCAAGGCTCTCTAGAATGTTTTCATTTTGGAAATCTACAGATCTTTCCCCCCCTTTTTTTCCTCCTCACCCACCAGCTGTTAAAATGTATCATTGACCTCAAAATACATTCAGACACAATCTACTTTTTACTTTCCATTAAAATGTTTAATTTGCTTAGTTCAAGGGAACAACACAGGGGGAGAGAGAGACAGGAGAGATCTGAATTATGGAAGTTCTGCTCAAAAGATTATTGGGTTACAACAGTGGTCACCAACCAGTATATTGGGATCTACCAGTAGATTTTTGGAGCCTTTGATAGGTGATCCTGACTGGTTTGGCCAGGAAGGTGCTGTCATTGTCACAAACATACACTGTCCTTCACACTCATCTCCAGACCCAACATGTATGCGGGGAGGAGTTGTGATTTCTTTTTCTGCTTGCAAAGTGGATTATTTTTGGTTTTAGACTGGTCTGTGCATTTCATCATTTTCATTTCTCTCTTATGCTTACATTTTTCAGTAACCGGGTTTGGTTCTTTAAAGGATTTGAAACCACAGACAGAGGAATACTTCTTTTTAGTGTCAAACCAAGATTTTTATTTTTCTATTTACTTTATAATTAATTTTCCATTTAAATCAATTCACTATCTTTGGTTCTTTTAAGACAGTGTAATATACAAATAAAAAGTAGAAGAACAGTACAGTTAAAAAAACAAGAAATAACAATTTCTCCTACAGATATACCCTCCTGATTTACCTTTAAACAATTTATGAAATTAACAAATATATAATACTCATGTTAAGAAAGATAGAAGCATTGCTTAGATTCAGGAGATATTCTTTTTTGTTTCTCCTTTTTTGTTTTTGTTTTTTTCGTTGCAACTTACGAACGGTGTTCCCGTTTCGGAGCTTATGTGTGACAGCGAGATTCAGCACCGGGGAGGGAACCCTGGTTGGTCAGAGCTAGTGTTTTGGATTTGCAACCCGTCTGCTCTTGGTCTGTTCCATCCAACCTTATATACCCTGTTTCGATATTTCGGTATTCCTCCACTCGCCTGACAATTGCTGACGTTAGATTTTTGTTGTCTCATTCTGCCCTTAGAAAAACTTTTGTCTGCTCCATTTGGGATAGTCAGCACTTTGTTGCATATTGCTCTCTTGAGTTACTTCCCTAAAAGCGGGGTTTCTGTTGGTCATCCAATCAAATTTTGTTTTTATTTTATATCTCCTGTATCTCACAATGCTGCCTTTGCTTTACACTTACAATTAAACTGGTGCTCATTTGACATATTCTGGGTAGGCCTCAATACCTTCCTTTCACAAAATTAAATTCTTTGAGTAGTGAGTTCTAAAACCTGCCGTGGCTGGGGTAATTATCCTTGTGGTAACTGCTGCTCCTGGAAGTGGCTGGCATGTCCCTGCAGCCTGAGAGAAAGGTAGAGCAGGGAGTCTAGACATGCTGTCCTTGCCTGCAGACCCCACTTCTGTAGCTCCCATTGATCAGTAATGGGGAATCGTGGCCAGTAGAAGCTGTGGCTCAGTACCTGTAGATATGGGTCAGCACGTGGTGCCCTGGAGCCATTGGTGTACATGTCAGCTGTTTTCATGAGTGGTGTAGAGCCAGGGCAGGAGTAAGCCTGCCTTAACCCCACTGTTCCACCACCTGGAAGCTGTCTCAGTTAAGTGGTGCCTGCCAGAGCCAATTTTGTTCTAGTCCTGAACCCCCTCCTGAATCCAACCACCTGCCCCAGATGTGAGTCCCCCTGCACCCAAACTCCTTCTTAGAGCTTGCACCCTAAAATTTCTCCTGGACCCCAATCCTCTACCCTTGGCTAAGCCCAGAGCCCATTCCACATTCTGAACCCTTTTGCCAAAGACTAGAGCCTGCATCCGAACCTCCTACCCAAACCTGGTGAAAGTGCATGAGTTTTGGGGAGGAAGTGAGCCAGGGTGAGGCCTTGAAGAAGAGGTAGAGCCTCAGAGAAGGGGCAGGAAGGAAGTGGGACAAATGTATTTGGGTTTGAGGTAGATCTTACATTGCACTTAAATTGAAAAAGTGATCTTGTGATTAAAAAGGCTGGAGACCACTGGGTTAGAGAATGCAGCTGTTTCTTACAATCTTATATGCTAGTTCTTAACATACATTTCTGAAATAATTCTCTTAGGTCTTCTCACCTGCTTGCATGCACTTGTAATCAGAAGTGAAGTTTAGAAAGGTTTAAAGGAATCTGATGAACTACTACAGTGACTCTCAATCTTTCTGGACTACTGTTCCCCTTTGAAGAAACTACTTGCTTGCAAAATTAGACATTAAAAATATAAGTGTCATAGCACACTGTTATTGAAATGGCTTATTTTTTCATAGAATCGTAGGGCTGGAAGAGACTTCAGGAGGTTGAGTCCAGCCCCCTGCCCAAAACAGGACCAATCCCAACGAAATCATTCCAGCCAGGGATTTGTCAAGCCGGGGCTTAAAAACCTCTACTGATGGAGATTCCACTACCTCCCTAAGTAACCCGTTCCAGTACTTCACTACTCTCCTAGTGAAACAGTTTTTCCTAATATCCAACTTAGATCTCCCCCACTGCAACTTGAGACCCTTGCTCCTTGTTCTGCCATTTGTCACTACTGAGAATAGCCTCTCTCCATCTTCTTTAGAACCTCCCTTCAGGAAGTTGAAGGCTGCTATCAAATCCCTCTTCACTCTTCTCTTCTGCAGAGTAACTAAACCCAAATTTCTCAGCCTCTCGTCATAGCTCATAGGCTCCAGACCCCTAATCATTTTGATCACCCTCTGCTGGACCCTCTCCAATGCGTCCATATCCTTTCTATAGTGGGGAGCCCAGAACTGGGGACACTATTCCAGCCGTGGCCTCACCACAGCTGACACAAGGGGAATAAACACTTCTCTGGAACTGCTGGCAGTGTTCCTCCTGATGCACCCTAATATGCCATTAGCTTTCTTGGCTACAAGGGCACACTGTTGACTCATATCCAGCTTCTCATCCACTGTAACCCCCAGGTCCTTTTCTGCTGAACAGCTACTTAGCCAGTCGGTCCCCAGCCTGTAACAATGTTTGGGATTCTTTGTCCCAAGTGCAGGACTCTGCACTTGTCCTTGTTGAACTTCATCAGATTTCTTTTGGCCCAATCCTCTGATTTGTCTAGGTAACTCTGGACCCTATCCCTGCCCTCCAATGTGTCTAACTTTCCCCCTAACTTAGAGTCATCTGCAAACTTGCTGAGGGTGCAATCTATCCCCTCATCCAGGTCATTAATAAAGATGTTGAACAAAACCGGCACTAGAACCAATCCTTGGGGCACTCCACTTGAAACCGATCACCAACCAGACATCGAACCATTGATCACTACCCCTTGGGCCCGACAATCTAGCCAGCTTTCTATCCATCTTACAGTCCATTTATCCAATCCATACTTCCTTAATTTGCTGGCAAGAATATTGTGGGAGACTGTGTCAAAAGCTTTGCTAAAGTAAAGGTACATCACATCCACCGACTTCCTCATGTCCACAGAGCCAGTTACTACTTCATAGAAGCTAATCAGATTGGTTAGACATAACTTGCTCTTGATGAATCCATGTTGACTATTCCTGATCACTTCCCCTCTTCCAAGTGCTTCAAAATGGATTCCTTGAGGATCCCCTCATGTTTTCATTTTGTCAGTATTACATTTTAGTTTATACTGACTTTGCTAGTGGTTTTTATATAGCCTGTTGTTAAAACTAGGAAAATATCTAAATGAATTGATATACCTCAGAGTATTGTTTACCTAAGTTTAGAACTGGGCTAATATATTAGTGAAAATATTTTAATCCTGATAGTACATGAAAACAGCTGAGCTCAGTACAGTTTCACCACACTAAGCTCAGTAACCAAGTAAGCTCTGATAACAGCTTTTGTTTCTATACTGAAAATGGGTAATAGAATACATCAGCTGTCCATGTATCTATTTCACTTAGTTTATCTATTGTTTATCTGTGTATCTATTTCACTGGCACTGTGCAAGAGCCAGGTGTACCAAAAGTTCATGTGCTTTTGGTACAAATCTTGTGTTGAAGCACGAGGTAGAAACCAGCATTTTGACCACTCAGGAATGTACCAAAGATTCTGAAGAGCTTTTTACTGTTGGAATATTTAAAAAAAAATCTTACAGCAACTTAGAGCTATTAACAGCTGGTATATAAACCAGTATAAAAAAGTTATTGTATGAAATTGTAGTTTGTAGTGACTTCAGTTATGCTTATGCTTTTCGTGTATCCTATTGTAAAACTAGGTAAACACCTAGATGAGTTGATGTTCTCCTTGGAAGACCTCTGCTTACTCCCAGAGGTATACATTACCCCTGATTGAGACCCATTGGATTAACCTATGAGTTTTGTCATAGTAATTTTTTGTTTCATTGGCAAGAAAATACGTTGTTTTCAACATCAGAGCCTCAACAGGTGATGGATTTGTGGTTCCTCTGCCACTTAAAAAGTGACAAGGAGTCCTGTGGGACCTTGTAGACTAACAGATTTCTTGGAGTATAAGCTTTCATGGGCAAAGACTCACTTCTTCAGGTGCATGTAGTGGAAATTCCACAGGCAGGTATAAATATACAGGCATAAGAAAAGAGTACCAATCAGATTCAGACTAACACGGCTACCCTTCTGATACTCTGCCACTTAAAGTAGTTTTAGTTTTTAATTCAGAAAAAAACATGGGGTTTCAAAAAGGCATCAGAAGAGGACAGAATTCAGTTCACATTTCTTTTTTGTTGATGAGGTACAGTCTGTGGTATACATTTTCTAGGAGTTGTCACTTAAGTTTCACTTAGTTTCTTATGGGCTTGCATTAGACCCTGATGGCCTGCATTCTAGAAGTGCTTGGCATTTGTGCCAAAGCTGTGTCTTTATAGGAGGTACTCATTCTTTGTTAGTATTGTGCATTAATTTGTAATTACAGCATTCAGTTCTTTTCCCTCAAGTTTTTTGACCTGACATCAGAAGTATCTTTGAAGTCAGAAGAGGTGGTTGGCAACGTAGATGAAGTCCTTGAGAAGGTTGAGTCAGATATCTGCAAAGAGCTGGAGATTTCTCTAGTTGTAAGTTCCTAACTTATTCATAGTTCTGAATTTTTTATTCCACTCTGATCCCAGTTACAGCTTTTAATTTATGGATAGGTTGCTATTGATCATTGCAAGGCAGCTTCTCTTTCACAGAAATGAGATGGAGAAGTTTTATATAGCTTGTGTCCGATGATGTATGCCAGCATGTCTGAGCACGATTGGGAACTAGGAATGGTGGTGTTTTAATCTCAGCTCTATCACTACCTTGTTACGCTGCCTTGGGCAAATCAGTGTCCTGTCTGTATAATGGGAATAATCTCTCAGAATGCTGTTGTGAAGCTTAATGTAATGTGCTCTGAAAATGCTAAATGTATAAAGTATTGTAATATTAGTAGATGATTTAGCCCGTCTCCATGCCAGTTCTTACTACAGTATATTCTCTAGTGCTTTGTCCAGTCTTAAATGATTTTCACTGCTTCCCTTTAAAGATTTACTTCATTCTAATTTGTTAGGAAATATTTTCTGATGTTCAGCCTAGTTTTTCCTCTTCTGTTGTTTATCTTTTATGATCAAGGGGATTTCTCCACGCTAGGGATGTGACAGGTAACCGGGATCAGCCATCGGGGTGGGGAGTCAGGGGCTGGCCACCCTGTACATGGGGTGGGGGGATGCTAGCTCCTGCTGCCAGCTTCCCCATGCACGGAGGGGGAGTAGGGAGTGGGCGGGAGCAGGAGCTGGCAGCCCTGTGGGCTTGGGGCTGCTCCACCTGGGCTGGAGTGGTTCTCCCTGGGATCCTGCTTAATTCTAAAGTTAACTGATTAATGGGATTTTACATCGCTACTCCATTCTCTTTATTTTGGTATTTCTTCTCTGGACTCCTTTCACTGTCTCAACAGTACACGTCCTTCTTGTTCCAGACAGAGAAAGCCAGGAATAGAAATTGAATCTGTCTCTTGATAATCCAGTGCTGCTAGAACACTAGTTTAGTCAACACTTACTTTGACCACAGTCTGTAACAGAGCACGTGACTTGCTTTTTAGAGGTTGTGGTGATACACATCTAGACATTTAGGTTCCATTTAAAAAAAAAACAACACACCAATCTGTTAAGTTCTTTTATACAACACAAAATATAACATGACAAAAATGAAGCTTCTGGGTGCAAATGTGGATCAGTCTTTATTTTACAGCAATTTCTTGGTGAACTCTTAATACCTGTGAACTTTCCATTTCCAGTCTCCCCAAGAAGAGAGATAAAAATCTGACAGTAGAGCCATTCTATTAACATCGATCTTTTCAGTAGAATTTTTTAGCTTAGATGTTGACTTACAAATTAATAACTGTAAGCCTTTCATTTACTTATGTATAATTTAACTCAGGAGCAAGACGAGGCAGATAAGGAAATAATCTTAAATGCTTACAGTAAAGTTATAGAGAAGATTCGTCAGGAGCAACATCTAATCGCTGTACTCCAGAGCAAGTATTTGGACAGCATTGAGGTCAGTTTACCCCTTGCCTATCATACCATTCATTATTTTCTGAACTAATTTTTTTTTAAAAGGATTTTCATTAACTTTTTTTTAAATTGAACAAATGTGAACATGTGTCTGCTTATATGGAGGTGTAATTTGCTTTTATTTTGGTAGTGTGAGAACTGATGGTCTCTTAAAATTTAGAAATGCTTTTTATAAATAAGTAACTTAGTATATGAGCCTAGAAGCACTCTTTAAAAATTAATGAATTATAACTGTTAGTACAGTAGACGACTTTTTTCCTGAAAAGTGGGATTTTAAGATTGTACTTGTGAAGAAGCTTGCTTCTATAGGCAAGCAGTAATTTGTCCTACAAAAACTAAATTAAATAGTAAGTTCTGCTAGTCTGCTCTTAAATGCATTGAGATGTATGTAAATACATTCACTAACAGTTTCCTTTTTTTTAATTTAGTTTAAAAAGCAGATTGCGGAATGGTTGAATAAAAGTCCCAACATTGACAATTTGTTATCAATTAAGAAGACTTTGAAAAATTTAAAGAGACGACTGAGATGGAAGTTGGTTGAAAAGAACAACTTGGAAGAAGTATGGAAATGTTCATTTTTTTTTAAACATACTACAGAGACATTAATTTGTGTATCCCAGATAAGCAGTAACCTATGGTTATAGTTTGCAAGATAGAAAAAGTTTGCTTTAAATTCTGACTAAACAGGCATTTGAAGACCAATTTTAAGTTAAGCAATTTTGACTACAAAGGCTGAGCAGAAGCTTTCAAATATTAGTCTGGGCCCGAGTTCTTCTGAAGTATGGAGATAGTTTTGTGTCGTGACCTAGTCATGTTTCATGTGCTACTAAGCAAGAATATCTCTTGGTTTCCTGTGTTCATTATGTGATCCCTTTCACCTTTCTTGGTTTCTCACATTCCTTTTTTGTTCACCTCCCTGTGGATTATACTTTGGCGTTCCTTGATCACTTGAGGTTTTTATATGAATATTTTTGCCTCCTCCCTATTTAAGTGTGGGGAATCAAAAAAACGAAGATAAACATACCAATATTGTTGTTTTTCTTGTTTTGAACTCCTAGTGACCTCACTGAGAGCAGATAGGTCCTGCTCACTGGTGGAGCATAAAGGTCATTTTTTGCCACAGCTGTCAGTTCTTTTTCCACTGAGTGAGTCTTATGGTGTGTAAGTATTACCCCAGCACTAGCAGGGAGAAAGAGAAGATAAGCATCAACTTAGCTGCACAAACATGGGCATTTTGTGAGGGGAAAGTGAGAGCCAGGTACACTTAATCAATGTTCTTTAAACTCAGGTCACTAAACCACTCTCAACCTCTCCCTTCCAGACAGACAAAAAACAAAAAAATAGGCAGGCGCTAAATATAATACGGGCTGAAGTCCATTATCAGAATGAGGGCCATCCAGTTTGTTGCAGTGAATGCAACTTACATGATTTATCTACCTTGTGGGCAAGTGGAATATGTGTGCACATAGCCCTCACAAAATGAGTATGGGCTCTTGAGACCAAAATTGGAGGAGTAAGGCAGATAGAGGTACACAGAAGAGATTTTCCAGGACACAACAGTGCACTCCTAGTCTGACAAGCTTTGTGCTGTTGAGAAGGATGGGAGTTTTTTGGGGAAGGAGAATATCAAACTGGAGTAGAGTGAAACAATATTATAGGATCCGCCTTTCAGATAAAGTCATGATACCTTCTTGCACTGAGTATATTTCTTCAGGGGAGGGAATCCCAGTTATTAGGAAGAGACAGGTAATAGTAATGGGGGGTTGATCATTGATTCATTGGAAATATACATAGGTGGGTTTGTTATGACTGGGAAAATCACATGGTGAATGACATGCTGGGTTCAAAGGTTGTAGATCTCTGAAGACATATTAAGATATTTGTGCTATGCTGGGTAAGAGCTGGTGGTACATGTAGGAAAAGTAGGAGGGAAGTCCTAGAGAGCAAATTTAGGTTACTAAGCAGAGGCTGAAGTACTTGACCGCTTTATGGGAGCATTCTCTGAAATGCTTCCAGTTCTTCTTTGAGTGCTTGCTCATGCCCATTCCATGTTAGATGTGCGTGCACTGTATGCACAGATGCTAGAGGATTTTTCTCAGAGCAGAATCCATCAGGCTAGCACTAGTGCCCTTGGGTGTGGGGTGCACGTGTCCTGGTATAAGGGCCTCGATGATTCCACACCCTTAGAGTTACTCCTTGCCAATCATAACGGTTGCTCAAACAACTCCTCTTGCCTTGCAGGGTTGTTCTTCTAGTGGTTCCATTATTCCCTCCTGACTTCACAGGTTTAGTTACCTTCACTTTTTTTCTTTTAATAGCAGTGTAATTAGTTGAAATCCGCAGTTGTTTAGGGTTAGATTTTCCCCAGATTCTGAACTTCAAACCTTGTCCCTCCTGCTGTGAATGACGCACAATCCAGCTTTCTAAAGTGTCTGCAGGAGACTTGTGTGTAAGAGTGTTGTCAGATACGCTGCCAGTTAAAACCTTGTATGAGAGGGGACTGGGAGTCTAAGTCTAGGCTGTGGTCCAGTCGGATGGAAGCTGCACTCAGATTGGCATCAGAGCCAATTTGGTGAGACTTGACACTGAGTACCTCAACATTGGTGTGGAGTGTTCCTATGGCAGCCCAGGTTTCTAGGCCTCTTGCCTGGGACTGAGGAAACACAAAAAGCAGTGTCCCAAGAAGGTACGTTCTCTGGGACTTGAGTAAGGATAAACAGGGAGGGTCATGGAGTGCAACATGCATTAGGCCACTCCTTTACCCCCACTTTGCAAGCAACATTGATGGTTCTGCCCTGCTCATAGGTGTTTCTGAGCGCAGTGCAAGATTATCCACCAGCATTGGGGAGACATTGTGACTCCCATGGGATCTCCATGCTATTTGCCCTCGAGGTGTTTGCAGCAGTCAGGGATCTGATGACTCTCACGGTACCACTGACCCTGGAGAGGCAACTGAGGGCAGGTGAGATTACTGGAGAGAAGGGAGCATGTTCCCCCAAGCTTCTAACTGGCACAGAGTAGTCTGGTACTGACCAGAGGGAAACCAACTCTGCTGATGTCAGTGAAGACTTCCCACTGTCACCATTCCTCAGACATTTGGCAGCAGCTGGTGGAAGTGAGGGGCACTGATCCCCATTTGGAGTCTGAGGAGGAGTTCTGCAGTCACAGGGCTGTTACCAGTAGCTTGACCTAGGCCTTGTTGAACCCCAGTATGGGTGCCTTCCCAGGCCCTGTGGGCAGGTCCATGGCCTTTTTGGGGTTTTGGCGTTTCCCCCCAGTTGTGGGACTGCCTTCTAGCCAATCGCACTCAGTGGTGTCTGAGAAAAGGGCCCACCTAAATCATCTGGCATCTGACCCAGATTCTGATACTGAGCCTGTACCAGTACTTAGGACTTTGGACTGTGTGATGTGGTCAGTATTGAACAAGAGGTGAATGTCCTGTATTGGTGCTGGCTGCCTCCTTCTCAGAGAAGCCTATGTGGAGCTCAAGAAGATTGGTGTCTCAGGGCAACTTCAGAACTCACAAGGAGCTATTGAGAAGAGTGGCTTGTAAATTCAGTGTAGTTGTGATGGCCTGTCAAAGGGGACTGTGCCCCTCAATAAGGCCATTATGGGTCCGGTGAGGTCCCTGTGGCAGACCCCATTCTCTTTGCCCCCCACTTCAAAAACAGCAGAGGAAAAAAAAGTACCATGTTCCTGCCAGAGGGTATGAATATCTGTATACACACCCCCAACCCCTTAAGGTTACAGTGGCCAATGAAAGAGACTGGCAAGGAGACTGCAAGCTTTGTTTCCCCTCTCTCCCTCACCCAGCCAAAGGACTCAAGCTGGACCTGTTGGATAGAAAGATTTATTCTACTGGTGGGTTACAGCTCTGCATCTCCAATTAGCAGGCCTTGCTAGAGAGGTATGACTACGTCCAGGGCTCCATGTCAGAATACAAGGACTTACTGCCTCAGGAATTCAGACAAGAATCCTCTGCTCTGCGGGAGGGTGGGCCTCCTTTCAGGCTACCTCAGATTCATCTGATATGGTTGCCAGAACAGTGGCATCAGCAATGGTTATGAGAAGGTGCTCGTGGCTCTGGTCCTTGGGACTGCCACCAGAAGTTCAACAGTCCATTCAGTTCCTTTCATCTGAGGGAACTTCCCTCTTCCTCAAACTGATGGATGCAAAATTCCTAGGCCTGAAATATTCCAGGACTACTGTCAGGTTCCTGGGCCTCTATTCCCTGGTATCTTTTGAGGAAATGCTTCAGACCTATGCAATCAGTCCACTTTTTAGCTCCACTACCTCACCAAGAGCTGGTTAAGAAATAGAACAGGGGCTATGCAAGTAGGCATCTACTCCCTTCCATCCAACTCTACTATTTTAGCACAGCATGGCCTAGGAATGTTAGGCAGCATGTAATCCAGTAACCATGCAGCCGACACAAGTTTTATTGGTTACATAATTAATTGCTGTAGCTCTGCATTGAAAGGAGCTTGGGAGCTGGTGTGCATGTAGGCTGGCTCGGTCCTGGCTTACACTGGGTCCTGGCAGGTGCCCCTGCTGCGGCTCTCCTTTTAAAGCCCTTTGGGAGCTCAAAATACTTTAAATGCAAAGCAGCAGTGGAGGTAGCTACTGGGACCTAGAATGAGCCAGGACTGAGTCAGCTTGCCTGCCCACTGGCTCCTAAATTACTTTTCTTGCAGAGCTGCAGCAGGGGTAGCTGCTGGGACTTGGAGTGAGCAGGGATTGAACCAGCATGCCTGCCCGCTGGCTCCCAAAATACTTTAAATGCAAAGCTGCAGCAGGGTAGTCTAGCTGGTGGTGTTAACCAATATGCATCTGGTTTATCGTTTAACCAAATACACTATTACATCCCTAGCATGGTCTCATCACTTGGCACTGTTGGCTGCAGTGTACAGCAGAGGAAGGCTACACCCTTCAGTTGTATTATACTCCTCTCTTCCATCCTCATTCTTCTTCGGAGACTCTTCTTTTGAGCAACTTGTAGGCCAGGAGCTACAGCACTCAGATCTATTCCTCCAATCCGGGGACCGGCATGGAAGAGAAGAGCCTCAGTGCAGCGATGGGGACTGGGACCAGCAAGATGGGCCTCTAGGACTGGAGTAGCTTGGTGCCTGCGAATATCTATGGTGCAGTGAACAGCACAGTTGATGTGACGAGTAGGAGACCCATTATCTCTCCGGAGCCTGTGGTGCTGGGAGAGTACATGCCTGCTGGGAGAGTACATGCACTGGCGACGAAGGAGCCCATGCATCATGCGCTGGCCTCTCTCTAACAGAGCTCTGGGGACTTTGAGGTGCAATCCTATTGGATGCTGGGTGACAGTGGCACTGGGCGGTACCTGGTGACCGAGGGCCAGACAGTGTCTTCCCCTGTACCGAGGTCCCATTGATACCAGGGATGGTGGTACCACCATAGTATGAAAGTCCTGTGTGGCCTGAAACGCCTCCAGTGTGGAGGGGAGACGGACTTGCAGCACCAGGGAAGGTGACTGGGTAGGAGGGCTCACTGCCACCTACGCCTTCTCCTGCCTGTCAGCTGACTGGTC